AAATATCTGAAATTTTGTTATCTATAATATTCTAATAATATATATAATTTGTATTAATAGAAAAAAATGGAAAGAGGTGAAAAATTTGATTTAAGAGAATTAGAATCTAGCGAAGAATCGGAGAATGAAGAAGAAAGAAGAGAAGAAAGAGGAGGAGAAAGAGGAGAGAAAAGAAGAGGTAAAAGAAGAGAGAAAAGAAAAAGAGAAAAAAGTGAGAAAAGAGAAGAAGTTGAAATTATATTTGAAAGTACTGGTCAAAAATTGATAAATAATATATCGGATACCTGATATATGTATGGTACATCTCTAATATCGGGCATATATCGGGTACCCAATATATGTAGAAAATATTTTATATCGGATACCTAATAAGTATAAAAAATATTTTCTATACATATAAGGTATCCAATATATTGTGACAATACAAAAACATTCGTGACCACTGAAGGTGGCAAACAGAGGTAGTAGTTACATCAAGTAGATTATGTGTTACCAATACAAGGTGATTATTTATTCACCCTCACACAACATCTCCAAGTAACAAAATATGGATAGTAACCAAGGTAAAGGTAAACAAAAGAAAAATGTATAAAGAATCAAAGTCAAGTAGTGATAAGGAAAAAATTCTTTTTGGGTGAAAAATTCATTTTTTTTTTTTTATAAATTTCTTTTATCAACTTTAATAATAATAATTTCAGATTTTTTTTTAATATTGGTGACAATAAATAATTTTGAATATTTCTTACTTCTAATAACTTTAAAGACAAATAGTTTTAAATAATTTCTCCATACTAGCTAGTCCTGTAGATAAATAATTTCTAATAAATAATTTTGTGCAGCAATAGAGATAAAATACGCAAAAGTAATAATATATCTCCATTGTTATACATCTTTGTAATAATTTTAATAATAGTAGATAATTTCGTATATCGGAATAGCAATAGGGATAGACATCCCACTCATGATAATATTTCTATTGACCTATTCTCTTGATAAGTTTTAATAAATTTTAATAAACTCTTTTATATTTCTTGGCAAAAGTTACATAAGTCTATTTCAGTTGGTAGTGTGTAAGCGGTAATAAAGATACTTTTACTCCACTTACTCATTGTACCTTCAGATATTACACGTAATTGTATTAGTCGTGAGTGTAAGCAGGTTTAGATCGACTGATTGCCTGACTTACAGTGTGTCGTGATATTGTACACAATAAAATCGTGTTAGTGATATATACGTGATAAATTTGAGACCGATTGGCGTAACTTTCGCTTTGTTCTGCACAGAACGTGACAGTAGTAAATTGGTTTAATTTGCGAAGGTATGAAAAATTTCAATCTTATTTTCTTAATTAAAATTTGTATTTATATTTAAATTAAATTTGGTTCGGAGATGATAGTTTTATATTTTCGAAAATATTCTTTATTCAATATTGTTATTTAATTCATTTACTTTTTTTTCCATTATTCACTTAATTCTAAATTAAGTATTTTTTCAATGACCGAATTAACTGATACAGTCTATTTTGGGAAGCTTAATGGGAGATTTGATATTTTTAACCATGTGCATAGGGAATTGTGATAATAATTTCAATTTTTTTCACGTGCCTAAAATGAGCCTTGGATTCAGGTTTCGAGAAGGCTAATCGAAATGAATGATGATCGCAATTCTCAACACATATGCATATGATATAAACAATAGATTACAATGACAGCATGTGTTTGGTTATAGATTATTTCCTGTTCAGGCGTATTGAAATTATGGAAAAGTCGGCACTAATCTTGTCTCGCATGGTTAGGTTATATTTAACTAAATTTAGTTTGCAAATATTTAATTGCGTTTATCTTAAAAACAAAAAAAAATGAATATTACACGAGTATTGGATTCCTTATAAAAGTTTTCGAGATTTTGACTCATTGCAACATCATTTAGACATTCTTAGAAATTAGGTTGATTTTCTTTTAAATTAGATTAAAAAAAAATTTATTCCTTTCACCGTTGGCAAAATGACAAAAATCATCTCAATTCTTGTAATAGTTGGTCTCATATTTTCTTGCCTCAGCTTAATTTCTCAAGCTAAAAATCCTAAAGCTCCCCATAAAACTCCACCCACATCTATTGGAAATCTTAGTAAGAATTTGTTTTTTTAGACATTTTAAATGCCGTTAAATACTCAGCACAATTATTCTTTATGTCGAAAAAAAAAATAAAACAGAATTTCCTAATAACCTGGTTATCCCAAGTAATATTTCAGTCAATCTCGATGAGAATAAATTCGCGTTCTCCTTGTGTATCATAGCGGGGATTAATCTTGAATGCAACGTGACTGCTCGTGCCTGGACTTTGAGTATTAAGATTATTTTACTTCGCATAACTCTTTTCAATTGTAAAAATATAAATATTTACGATTTAATTTAACAATCCAGTTGGACCAACTGGAGTTACCGTCAACGATTGTGAAGACTTTAAAGAAGTCGTTTGTGATCCTACCTTTATTACCGCGGTAACAGTACTAAACCCTCGAGCTCGTAAATAGAATTTGTCAATCCTTCAAACCTTTTTTCTCTCTATATTTAACTTAAGAAACTAACTCTTCTAAAATTTCCAATAATATAGCAATCGATAACATTATTTCCGGAGGATTAAGATCCGCAATAAAGACAGACACCTCGTCAGCCTTTTTCACGGTCGAAGCTACTTCACTTTCACCCAATCCTTCCGTTGATGGTGTCTGGTTTAGATCTTTCGCTTTTGTAACATATTAATTATTATATTCTAAAAGTCATTTTAGTTATCACAAACTTTTTAATATATTTTTCTTGGTTCATTTATTTTATAGAATCAATCAGGGGTAGGCGCATTTTCTGATGTGACCTATCTTCAAAGAGTCAAAACTAAAGGAGGAATTTTTCCACCAAATAATCAATGTAAGTTCGTATTTACATAATTTTAATATAATGAGGAAACAATTCTAAAATTTGATTCATTTTATTCGATAAATATAATAGGCGGTTCCACCTATCCCGATGGATATATCTACTCTGCATCACGTTACAGCGCCACATTTTTATTCTACAAAAAAAAGTAATTAGTAAGAGAGCTTGTTTAATAAAATGTGTTTCAAATTTATAGAATATATATATATATATTTGTATGTTAATTATTATGAAAAACCTTCTACCTCGATCTTACTAAATGAACAACTAATTCAATTTAATTTAGTTATTTTTTGATTATTTTTTAAATTTTATGCATTATAAAATACATTGTTTAATAATAAATTGTTTCTCGATATAATTATCTGATAAAGAATACTTATTTATTTGTTAATTTATTTATGTATATATGTATCTGTTTATCTACTATTTATATCAGTTATATGTTCTTACTTTTTATTTGTCTATATTCTTCTATACCAGTCTTTATTATACTATGCCTTATTAGCAGAATGTTTGTATTTGAGTGTGCTGCATAGTGATAAACTTAGAAATGAAACAGAAGAGCGTAAAAAACTACATAAACAACAACATAAACCGCGTGACAACAACGTAAACAAAACAGTATAAAATTATATTTTTAAAATGTTATAATTAGTAAATAAAAACTTTAATTTACAATAGTCATAGATGGTTGGATTGATGCAACCATCATGGTTAAATAATAATGTTCTCTAATTAATTTTTGGTCAAGTAATTAAAGAATTAAATGTTAATTCTTTAACTTTATTAATAATGATGCTAAATTCATGCATAAATTCAAGTATATTTATTATAATAACATTAACATCTACAGTTATATGAATACAATATTTACATTTTTAGTTATAAATTGGATATGTTAAAATCATATAAGATGTGAGGCTTGAAACCAATATTATATATTATTATAGTAATTGTTATTATCAATTATTAGTTAATAAGATATATATTTCTTCTCTTCTTTCTTTTCTCGTTTTTGTAATACATGTGAAACTTCAGCCAACATGTTTAATCAATCTTCGTGATTCATTCCAATACTTTCTTCGATCTCAGAAGCATATCAAGAGCTGAATTATATTGCTCAAGATCCATATAATCACATCTCACACTTTGTTATTGTGGAAGTTCTTGTTGTTGTTTCTGTTGGTATTGGTTATTGATGAGTTTCTTAGGTCTTCCACGCCCTCTTTTTAAATATTTTGTTGTTGCTGTTGCAGTTGTCGAATATCATTATGTTTCCTGAACTTCCCACACCTTCTTTTCAGAATATTTTATTGAAACCGTTGTTGAGGACATTGTTATTATAGAGGTTTCTACAGCCGTTGTTGAAATTGTTGTGTAATTTCGCAGTTTGTCTTGTCAAAACTATTTTTTTTAATAAATAATTTGTAAAATTTTATTGATTTCAAAAACCCATAAAACCATTTGCTTTTCGACATCTAAGATATATTTAAAATTTTAAATAAAAAATAAGTCTACAATTCTAGAACCTATTGTCATACAATACATAATTTATTATTTGAAATGAAAATTTTCAAAAAAAAAATATAAAAAATTGTCTTTGAAATAGCGACAAGAGCTTAAGCTCGATAACAACAACATTCAGAACAAACTCAAAAACCTCAACAGCTGCAACATTCTCAACAGCAGCCCCAACAAGGCAACAAGGAAGGGCTAGAAAAAATTTCAATCACAACAAAATGGTGTAAAAAGGAGGTTACAATCATCCCAACCACCATAACTGCAACAATATCGTGTAATACAACAACCACGCAATTACAACATCAACCAAAATTACAACAGCAACAACAAATTCCACATCAAAGTGTAGCGTTTAATCCTGTTCTTGATTTGTTGTCCACATCTGCTGTAAGAAATATGTGAATTATGTTATATGGAATTCTTAATAGTATAGTTCTTTATTTCATTAATATTAATATTGATTCGCAAAAATTATTTCATTTGAATGAACAGAAATATTTCATGAGAATGATAATATTCGATAATTTATATGAATATTATTATGGTACTTTAAAAAATAATAATTAAAGAAACAATAAAAATACTCTATTTACTGGGAAACGGGAGATGACTCGTTTTTATTTTTTATTATTGAACGAAAGTGTGATCAGATCACATTTAATGCGTTTATCTTCAAATCTTCACTTTGCGTATACGCTACGCCCGGACAATAATATGTGTCAGTTTTTGCCAATTCGTTACTAAAATATCAGAAATTATATTTTATATTCTTTCATATATTTATCTGAATAAAATGATCGATTTTTGGTCACATATTTTATTTATCTGAAGTTTACAATTAATCAATCTGAATAAAGAGTAAACCTTTATAAATACAACTAATTTGTTTCCAAGGAAAAGTCATAATAATCATAATATAAGTATAGTAATGCTAATAGTCGAATATAATTACAAATATTTATTATTGATATATTCATTATTTTTTTTATTTTATTTTATCTATTCTCTAAAAATACAAATTTATTTAAAGTAAAATAATAATAAAAAATAGTGTACAAATGTTTGAATAAATTAAAAAAAAATAATTATTATTATGAAAGAGAATCATTATAAGCCAATAAAATTAATAAAAATTAAATTAATTAAAACTATAAATTAATAAAAATTAAATTAAAAAAAAACAATAAATTAATAAAAATCAAATTAATAAAACTATTACAATAATGAAAATGACTATAATGTTATAACAATTATTTCTTTAGTGAACTTTAAAACTTCGAATTTTTCAATTGAATGATCATCTGTATTGGAAAATTCTTGTTTTTCGTCGCATTCTTGTCACAAAAGTTAATTTTCTAAGTTTTTAAATCGAATGTGAATTATTGTCTGAATATAAAAAATCAACAGAAGTATATTCTAAACTAGAATGTTATGTAAAATTAGGTACATGCAACATAGAGGCGACTAAATAGAATAAAAATAAATTAATATTTTTAATTATAAAAAATAAAATATACGAGAATATAATTATTACTTACCAATACTTAAAGCAGAAGTAGATTTTGTTAGTTCTTCAAGTTCTTTTTCGAAGTTTTCATCATTCTTAGGTTTTGGAAGACTTGAATAATTGAGAAGTCTACTGGAATAAATTGCTTCCGGATGTGTTTTATAATTCATTGGAGTCGTTGAATTTGTTAATCCTAAATTTTCGGATAATTTTTCAGCTTGTTTAAT